ATATATATACTTTTCAACACATAAGAAACAAAAATACTAATAAGTCATGATGCATATAATATCTGTAAAAGTAGAATGTATGACAACAATATCACAAAGAAAAGAAACAAAAAAATGGAAGTTAGAGAGCTCTCTGGCGGCATAGTCCATAGAGGGCTATGAGCTAACACAAAGGCTATTCCTCTCTGAGAGTTTGGATCCACACCTCGCTTCAGGGAAGGGAGATGAACAATGTGCTCCTCCCTCTCCAAAATCCCAGTTCAAGGACAACTATGAGTCAGTTCCAACGTGAAGGCAAAGAGAGTGAAGGAGTGAAGTAAAGCACTCTTACCTTCTTACATTAGTGAAGTGGTATTCTGGATTAAATTATAAACAATGTTTAAAATGCACATAATGCCAGGCCTTTGTCTCCATTGTGGAGTTGGTTGGGTGAAGTGGTTGGACTCTGTCAGATGGTTCTCTTGTTTTGGTTGAGGATCTGTGTGGATTTATTTATTTATTTTAAATTTAGGCCTCTTGTTTAGAGTCAACAAGACCTCTTGGAGGGCCCTTACATTTAAAAGTTGGGCTGGAGGATTACATTTTAATTGCTTGTTACTATATTTTGGGGGGACATTCTTCTAAGTCATATAGCACTCTGGTCAATTTGCTGTGCTGAGGTAATCTGGGTTTGCTGTGACACTTAACCTTGTGCAATTGGAGTGTCAAATGCCATAAAAGAACAACTGTGCCTTAGGTGTGCCAAACACTATAATGGCCACCCATTGTATGCAGTATTTGGTGGAACTTCCAGATTGATTCAGGTTTGGAAGCAGGAGTGGCATCCACTTCCTAAACCACATGCCTCTGGAAACTCTACGAACTTGGAGAAATGATGATAGTTATATATATATATATATATATATATATGTATGTATGTATATAATTTATCTCCTTGTATTTAAAAGTTGGTTGGGCCCGAGGGTCTGTGTTTTTTTTTGGAAGAACATTCTTCTAAATTGTGCAGCACTCCTCTGTTAATTTGCTGCTCTGGGGTAATCTGGGTTTGCAGTGAAGCTGAACCTTGTGCCATTGGGGGGTCAAATGCAATAAAGGCTGCCCATGGTGGACAGTGTTTGGTGGAATGCCCAATGTAAGACAGGTTTGGAAGAAAGAGTGGCATCTACTTACTAAACCACATACCTCTGGAAACTCTATAAACTTGGAAAAACACGATAGTTATAGAAATGCTTCAGGCATTTTGTTCATAGGGTCACTATGAGTTGTTCTTGATGCGATGGCAATCAACAATAAGTTAAAGACACATATTGTAAACATTGAAACAGCTGCAACAAATAATAGAAATAAGCCAATTACTCTCACCCATTCTCATGCCCTTGACTTAGAACTGATTCCTAGCTGAGCTTCCAGTGGGGCTTTCAGAGGATATACATTGCAAAGTGGGAGACAGCTCATCTCTAGAAACCACTAAAGTATTCAAATTGCCAGAGGAATCCTTCCTTTCGGTTAACAGTTCATCTCCCTACTGATTAAGCTACTGGAACTCCTTATAAGCCAATTTAAAAAGTATAAAATTGAATACCACAAAACACTGAGGTAATCCTACAGACAGCCAAAATAGGAGGAAATGAGGAATAAAGAACAAAGGTTTAAATTAGATAAAATGAAAACAAATAAATACATAGACAAATCATCCCAAGAACTAAAATGGAGAGTGCAGAAATAGTTGAGCCAATTAGTCAATTTATTTCTGACAAAGGCATTGAAGAACTTCAATTGTGAATTAATAGTTTTTAAATAAAAATGGTATTAAACATTTGGTATTTGTATGAAAAAAATATGAACTTCAAAAACTTACTCTATACACAAAATTCAACTTGAAATAAATTATATAACCAAACATAAAAGCTAAAACTAAAATTTCAAAATATCATAAGCATAAAGGCCAATCTTGAATAAATAGGTAGTTCTTAGTGCATCAAAAGCACTATTATAAATAAAACATCTGGTAACTCAGCTTCATCAAAGTTATAAACTTCTGCCCATCAAAAGAGCTTGCTACAAAAATTAAAAAGCAAAGTATTGACTAGAAAAATTTTCAATATTTTTGACAAAGAGCATGCATCCAGAGCATATAAAAAATTCTTCACAACTCAGTAAGACAAACAATCAATAAATTGACAAAACTTTTGAGCAGCATGAATTTACAAAATACTTCTTAAATAAAAAGTAGGCACTGAGGACATGAAAAAGTCCTGAAGGAAATGTATATCAGAACCACAGTAAAATGATGCAATTATCTATCAGAATGGATAAAATAATTCTGAGCATTGGCAAGGGCATGGAACAACTGAAACTCTCATACATTACTAGCAGTAGCAGGAAAAAGGGAAAGATGATTAAGAAAGGTCTTTGGGTAGTTTCATTTGAAGTTAAACATATTCCTATATGATACCCTAATTTCACTGCCCAGCAGTAATTGAAGGGAAATAAAAATATGCTTACCAAAACAAAAGAAAAAAGCAAAATATAAACATTAATGCTCACAGCAGCTTTATGTATTATAGCCTCAAATGGGAAACATCTTGGGTTATTATTCTCGTTAGGTGCTTTTGAGCTAACTATGAATTATCAAGATATTATGAATAACAGAATAGACTTTTGCCTTAACTTCCACTATCAACATGATCTCTATAATGCTCAAGTCCATTGTTCAAGTCCCTGAGTCAATTAACTCTTTGACAGTCTTCCTCTCTTTCAAGTGTAATGTTTCTCTTTCCAGTGTGACTTTTTTTGGTGTGTTTGTTTGCAAGTACTGGCACATTCATCAAACTGATGAACAAATTTAAAAAATGTGGTATCTAACATACTTTGGACATGTTGTAAGGAGGGATCAGTCCTTGGAGGAGAGAAAGACATTGATGCTTGGGAGGGTGGAGGGACAGTGCAGGAGAGGAAGGCCCTCTATGAGGTAGATTGATTCAGTGACTGGGATAATTGGGATGGGAGTGTTAGAGACAGTGTGATTGGCACAGGACAGAGCAGAGTTTAGGGCTGTTGTACATAGGGTGGCTATGAGTCGCAAGCAACTCGACGGCAAATAACAACAACAACAACAACAACAACATATGCATACTGAGAAAAGCTATTCAATGATGAGAAATAAGTGTCTGAAAGAAGGACAAAACAAAAATCTAAAATACATTCAGCCAGACATAGGAGAATGCAGAGATTTCTCTGTCTATGAAATTCTAAAATAAGCAAAACTAATCCACAGCATTAGAAAGTATCCCAGTGAGTATTTGCCTGAGGCTGGAGTTAGAAAGATAACTGACTGCAAAGAGTGATAAAGGAATGAGTGGTCTCATATGCATTTAAAAATATCTATTATAAAGGAAGAATGCCAACAAAAAAATTGATGCATTTGAATCACAGTATTGGCAAAGAATATGAAATCTATCACAGACTCTCAGAAGAACAAACAAATCTGTCTTGGAAGAAGTATAGTCAGAGGACTCCTTAGAAGAGAGGATAGTGAAACTTTGTCCCACAAACAGCTTTTGGGTTCACAACATAACTCTGTAGACTGTGCCACGGAAGCTCCTCTCTTTTAACTATAGCACATTTCATTATAGTATTTTTTTTTAATCTGCGTTACATCATTTCCTTCCTCTCTATCTCCCCGCACTTTACCACAAACCACACTAAATTTAGATAGTAATTAAACCAATGGTTCCCAACTGAAAACCTTCGACTTAAAATTAATATGTAAACTTCTACAAACTGTGAATTCAATAAAAATAATCTCTACCAAACTTTAAAAACATCTTCAGAGGAAAATTCAAGGGTGTGTGAAAAATACTTTGTCACAAGGACAAAGTATTCATACCTGGAATGTTATATAGAAAGTCCCATAGTTGTTCTTCTTCCAAGTAGTTCACAAGAACATTTCCAAACATTTGTGGAGATAAATTACAGTGGTATAGCACCTTAAAGATGGATTCTTGCAAGCTGGATCCTTCATTCACATTCTGATGTGTGTCAGAAACTTGTTCTTCAAAAGTATGATCTTCAAAAGAATAAAATTCTATATTAAGGTAGATGTTAATGAATATAATTTCATTATTATCATTGACCCTAGAATAACATTTTATAATATTTAAATAAAATATTCACACAGATCAGTGGCCTATCCTGTTCTTGTTCTAGTTAATTGCCTTCGAGTCGAGCATGACTCATAGCAACCCTATGAACAAAAGACCTGAAGCCCCCTCTACAACTACCGATTTTTATCAAAGTTCATAGTTTCTGGAGGCATGTTGTTTAGGAAGTGGATGCCACATTATTATTCTGAGATACCTAAGGATATTTGTAGGAGAACAAAACCCAATATTGAAAGAAGGGCCAAAATTATATTACTTCAAAGAGCTCCTTTTATTTTCCCATATATAAGAAACTTTACTACCCCCTTTAAAAAACTTGTATTATTCTGAACGTCTTATTGGGGTTTATGTGATAGTGTATACAGTAAACTAATTTCCCATGAAACAATTTATATACAAGTTGTTCTAGGGAAACTCTATTGTCACCAAGATTTTTTTAAAAAAAGAAAAAAACCTCTTTATTGTGATTTGAGTGGAAGTTAACAGAGCAAATCAATTTTCCATTCAACACTTCATGTACAGTTTTGTGACATTGATTGCAATCTCTGCATTGTAACAACACTTCCCATTTGCTGTCTGTGATTCTCATTCCATTCATCCTCCCATAAGATCCCTGCCTGCCCTCTGAGCTTTATCCCTGAACAAATGCTGCCCTTTGATTTTTCATGCTTGGTTGAAAGATTTTTCTTGGACACTGTTATTTAAAAGTAATACATCTGGAGAGCTCTGCTGGCCTAGCTGTAGAAGCTGTACTGCAATCCCAAAGGTACATGGTTCAAATCCACCAGATGTTCCACTGGAGGAAGGGCAATCTCCCCCTGTGCCAATCGGATCTGGTTCAATGGTACACAAGAAGAAAAAGGGGGAAAAAAATTTAAAAAACCCAAAAAGAATAAAAAAAGGAAAACATCTTCATTCCAGAAGTTTTTAAACATTCAGACGACTAAGAAGACTAAAATCATGTCAAATTTTACCAGGCAGTCAAAACCACCTTTGTGAACCCTTCCATTCTCAGTCATATTCGACTTGACAACACTTAACCACTGCTAAATGAAACTAGTGTTGTTGACATCTGGAGGAACACTCTTCCACTTTGTACATCACTCTTTGTTAATGTGTTGTATGAAGTAACCTAAGTTGCTGTGAGACTGAACCTTGTACCATTGGGGTGTTAAATACCAGAATGGTTTCCCCATGTGGACAGTGTGTGGTGGAGCTCCCAGTTGTAAAACAGGTTTACAAGCAGGAGTGGCATCCAATTCTTAAATCACATGCCTCTGGAAAGGCATTGGGTCTTTTGTTCACATAGTTGCTATAAGTCACACTTGACTAAACAGCAATCAACAACAACATGTTTAAATAAATGTTTATTTATCTCCATCCACAGCTTACAAAATAAGTAGAATTAACTTTAAGCATCATTTCCTTTAATAATTATTCTTTATCTACATAAACATAATGAAAGAGAGTAAACCATTGTATCTCTAAGTAAATGTTGAATTTTGAAAATTAACTAAAAAAATGAAAATTAACTAGATTTATCTAGGACAGAGCTTTAATGAAAAATTCACATTTTTAATGTTATTAGAATTATATTCTACAAAAAAAAAACATATGAATTTGTCTTAAACCCACAGGTACTGTAACTTCAAAAGAAAGAGGTTTGCCAATTTTTTTCAATGAAACTATAAAAAGAATTCAGAGAAAAATAGGAACATTTCATTAACTCTTTGAAACTATTATCATTTTCCTTCATAATTTCTTCAAAAGCTGTAATCAAAAATTCCTAAGTGTTGCAACTATAGATTTAAGTAGTTAGGTGGAATATGAATTTCTCTTTTACTCTTGTTTAAGTTTGAATAATTAGCACACATTTAGTATTTTAATGTGGAAAATTATTGAATTAAATGGCACTTTTCAGATCATATCTTAAGAATATTAAATAAATAGAAGTTAGATTATTAGAGGCTAATTTTTTTTTCTCATTTGGAAACTTACAGATTTTAAGTTTCTGTTACTGAATGTAAGGGTTCTTTCCTTAGTCACTAAGACAAATAATACCCATAAGCACTTTACTATGCAGATCTGGTAGACAGCTAGTCACCTCCAAGACTGCCTCCCCATCTGGGAGAAGTCATCAAGTTTTATAGGATGGTGAGACTCCCTTAACAATACACTTTTGTTAGTAAAAAAGAATTCGTACAACTGAAAAGAATAGTTCATATTTAAGTACTAATAATTCAGGAAGGGCCCAGTCTCTTTCTTGGTAAACAGGCAGATCAAGATACAATTTACATGACTGGGAAACAGCCTCAGAGAGATGTAGGAGAGATGCATTTCCTCTTCTGGTAAACAAACAGATCAAACTACTTTACATGACTAAAGAAAGGAAACAGAGAATGCAGAGGCTAAATAACTAGATTTGTAGGCTGAAGAAAACTGATGTTAGTTTTATAATTATATAACTATAGTTTTACAACTGATACATATATAGAGAATTCTGAACTTATTAATACCATCCTACCATTCCCCCCTCTTTTTATATGTCTTATATCTATAAGACAAACATACCACCCCATCACTTCATCAGGGTAACTTTATTTTTCTTATTTTATTTCATAATAAAAGGTATTTATCAATACTTGTAAACTAAGAAATAGCACCGTAGACTTCATTTGAGGGAATTTATTATTCTATTTTTCTAATATCCATTCTCTCTATCCTCTCTTCTTAAAACAAATTGGTTTTCCTCAGGCAAATTAGTCCTCCACTTATCCACAAATATACTCATACTTATTTTGATCATTTGATCATTATTTGGGTTGGAAACATGATGAAGGACTGGCAAATCAAAGCATGAAACCCTTCTCAACAAGAGGGATTTGTTCAAGCAGAAGCAAGTGATTGCTGACAATCTTCCTCAGGATTTTTTCTGGAGCTGTTACTGGTACAGAGATGTTCTTCTTGTTAAGTGGGAAGGAAGTAGGCTCAAGATTAACAGTCACTTGGGCATTACCTGTATAGAACTTAACTGAGACTGAATCCTATACAGTTAAAAGGAGAATCAAGAGATAGTGAGAAAGAAAAAAAATGCCTATGAAATGAACCCTGAGATTTAGCAAAGCCTGTATGTTTGTTGTTGTGTACCTGGTCCTTGGAGAGGGACATCATGCTGGGGAGAGTGGAGGGACAGTGCAGGAGGGGAAGGCCCTCTATGAGGTGGACTGATTCAGTGACTGGGGTAATTGGATGGGTGTGTTAGAGACAGTGCGATTGGCACAGGACAGAGCAGAGTTTAGGGCTGTTGTACATAGGGTCGCTATGAGTCGCAAGTGACTCGATGGCACATAACAACAATCCCACAGATGGAATGGACCCACAGCTGACCCCCTCCAGTGGGTTTTCAGAGGCAGTTAATAGCATGGGAGGAGATTGCTCATCCTTCTCCTGCAGAGCAAGCCAATACATTTCCTCTTTTGGTTAAGAAAGGCTAATTTGCATATGAAATGATACTGTTTAAGAACCTAGATCCAGCAAAGTCTATATACTTTTGTTAGTAAGGCTGATAGTTTCCTCTTGGAAATCCCTCTGGAATCTCTGTCAGTTTCAGTCTTAAGAGTTTTGACTTTTTCATGAAGCAAAAATTAACAAATAGCAAAGATTCCTAGTCCAAGTATTCATCTTTTCTCCTATCCCAACATTCACTGCAGTTCTTTGAGTCATTGCCCCTCTCCAATTCAGCTCACACAAAACGATCAGCTATCTTTCACATCATCTCTCACATGTAAAAAAACCTTACCCTGTTTCCAATGTTATAAATTACTTCACCTGACAAGCAAGAGTTTCTACAGTGTCTCCCCCAATTGTATTCCATCTAGACAGCTTTCCTTGCTGGGCTTTCCCAGCTTCTTTTGTTGTGTTTGACACTTGATCAGCCCAGAAGATTCTTCTCCAGTAAAACATCCATGTTTTAGTTACTTGATTGTTTGTTTGCTTGATTGATTGCTGTATACTAGTTATTTTGCTAGATGCTGAGGCTGTTGCCTTCCAATTATTCACTGTCCATGAAGGTATTTGCACAGGAAAGGGACTACTATCATTGCAACATATGCATAAACATTGTAATAATAAATCCTTTTTTTTTTTCAAGATAATCCTGGTTTATGGCCTTGCCTCAGCATTACTAATACTACTGAACACAAGGGGTTCTTTCTGTAGTCCCTTGCTAGTAGGAAAGACAGATTTCTTCTCAAAGACTGCCTCCCCCATCGGAGAGGTGTCTTAAGGGTTAGATACTATCTTACTTAGCAATGTACTTTTGTTAGTAAAGTTATAGAATATCTACATTTGAAAAGAACAATTCATATAAAAATACTAGTAAAGAGCCAACCTATAAAATAGTTAATATATGACTGAAAAAACACCAAGTTTTGAAAAGGCAAATGCTAATTCAGGAAGGGTGCACTTGCCTCCCTGGTAAACAGGCAGATTAAGATACAATTTATATACTACTAGGAAAATCAACGCTAAATCTACTGGTCATTTTCTAATTGGGTAAATGTCTTTCAACTGCTCCTTTCGGTAAAATGCTTGTCTGTCAGATAATATTCTTAAAAAACAAAATAAAACAGACTAGGAAGAAAGACTAGCCATCCACTTCCTAAATAACAGGTCTTAGAAAACCCTGTGTAGAATAGAATACACTTAGACTAGCAGACATGGCAACTGAGGCTGAGATCTCAAATACTGAAATACAAAGAAGGAGGAACACTAAGCAAACACTAGTGATTGGAACATGGAATGTGAGAAGCATGAATGTAGGAAAATTAGACTAGGGTAATGGGCATGGGTGTATCGGAGATGGTGCGATTGCCACAGGACAGAGCAGAGTTTAGGGATGATGTAC